TAGTCCCGTGACGAGACCAACCTTTATGCCTTCGAAGGCCTTCGGGGTGACGTTACTTCCGTTCAAAGTTCCAATGCGACGCTCGCTATTCGGGTGATCCTCGAGCGGCACCCGTACAGTGAAGCAGGTACCTGTCCCATCTTGATCGCTTACGACTTCGATACTACCACCCATTGCATGCACTATCCTGGAGACAATGTGCATACCCAGGCCTAGACCATCGGACAATGTGTCCTCCTGAGCAAAGTCATGGAAGAGACGGTCACTCTGAAACTTTTTCGACATGCCCTTTCCGGTGTCGGAAACGGTAAGCACAGCGTCAAAACGTCGCCGCGATCCCAATTTCGGCTCTTGTTTTAGGAAGACCCGTATATGTCCGGAAGGCGTGTATTTGAGTGCATTGGTGACAAGATTGATGCAAACGCGCTTCCAGCCGCCTGTGGCTAAGCTGCAATGCCAAGGCCTGCCGTCAGATCGATCGATGTCGAGAATGACCGGTGGATGAGTGTGATCTTTCGCATTTTGGCCGTAGTAGAAGGAGTATACGGTCGATACAACGGCGTCCTCGGTCAAGTCATCAAGTGCTATGTTCATATCCAACGCTTTCAGATCGTCAGCAGAAGAGCTCGCGCTTGGTGGGAGAAGCTTGTGGCTGATGTTTGAGCTTTTCACAGCACCCTTTCTCAAACGCCGGCTCTTGAGATCCGCGAAGTCGAGAAGATGTTCGATGATATCGAGCAAGGTACGTCCGCAGGAGTTGATCTGCTCGACAAAGGACGTAGCTATATCGTCCAACGTCTGTTCCGCTAGTAACTCGCATGAACCCAAGATACCATGTAGTGGAGAGCGAAGTTCGTGGGATATAGTCGAAATGAAATCTGACTTGGCTTTGTCGGTGCCCAGTACCTCCAGACGCTTGGTTTCCGCAACGATGATGTCACAGAAAGCATCGACGAATTGCATCTCCGTGTCCTTGGCGATATTTCTGAGTGGGTCACACGTCCAGTAGAGACCCGCAACCGCCCACCGTTTTTTGGTGTAGTCCCATATCCCATTGAGCGCTATGCAACGTGATCCGGGAAATACGCCCTGCAGGATATCTCCATCATTTCGTCGGTCTTGACGATGGGTTTTGCGTTGTTCATTGCTTGATGATCGTGTTCTCGCAGCACTGGCACCGGCTCCAGACTCGTCCGAAGAAACATCGTCTTCGGAATAGATTCTGAAGTCTTCGTCAAACTTCCAGACTCTTCCGAGCGGATTACGACGCATGAGCCTGCGTAAGAACGATTCCGTCAATTTCGTAGGAGGCTCACCCGTCGGATGTCTTGTTTCCATGCTGTGGTTTCGCGTTGTTTGTGCAAAGCCTAGCACCTGGCAGGCGGTTGCATGTTCGGTTTGTGACTCATTTGTAGGGTCAGAATGTGAAAAAACGACAGCCGAATCATCGCTATCAGCGTTACTCCCCTCATTGGACTCCGCATTTTGTGAATCGCTCAGTCCGCCAAATTCTCGGACAGAGGCGTCGAGGAAGGCGACACCGTCTAGTTCGAGTGATTGGCAAAGAATTTCCGCAGCACGTTGATACGTACTACTGGGATCGTCGGCATCTTCACGTCGACGAGGCTGTGGATGGGTTGTGAAGCCTTCTGCTGGAGAAGCAAAATGTTTCGGTGTATTCACGCTGTTTGTCCGCACATGTGGATCGAACAACGCATGTTTCCGATCGGTTAGCCGGGGAGCTCCGCTATAGTCGCTCGATCGCTGATGATGATGAAAAGTGGGGTTCTCAGATACCTGCGCGTTGCCGGTCGATGAGCTGTTCTCATGCTGAGCGGGTAAGGAGACTCCTACCGACTGCGAAGGCGTCATAGCGGGAGTACTTGTGGGGTCCATCAAGGCTTCGGGCGAGCGATACTGACCTGAGTAAGCTTCTTGAACTCCGACGCCGCCGTTCTTCACAGGCACATTGGTTGCGGGCGACGCTTTGCGAGCGGCACCCGACGTTCCTCGAACAAAATCTCCAAGACCTGCCACCATGCGATTGGTTTGTTGCCGTTCTGAGAGAGCACGCACAGATTCGAGGTGGTTTATAACAGTTTGCGACATGTCGCCCAAGAAGCTGAGATCTTTTTGCGAGATTCCATTACGAACTTTGTCGTCGAGGATGCAGTATGCACCAATGTTGACTCCAGATGGTGTTGTGATGGGCACACCTGCGTAGAAGCGGCCGTTGGGAAAGCCAGTGACGTACGGCCTGGTAGAAAGGTCCGGATGCTTGGTCAAGTCATTTACTACGAAGGCGCTCTTCCGGATGTCGCCGTGTGCAGCACTGGAGATGGGAAACGAAGGAAGATTGACGGTCGTCTCACAACAGGCGACATCGCGGGGAATGATAGAGTGACCCATCCACATCTCATCTCCGGGTTCGTGGATCGCATCATCTACGAGTGATAGCGTTTGAGTCGCCTCGGCCATGATGTAGGCATGGTTGACATCGAAGAAGAAGATCAAACAACGTCGAGCCCTCAATCTCATAGCACCCAGCTGGCAGAACGCTGTGAGGATCTTATCGGGGCACGAGACGGCCTTGTGTCTCTCTCTCGCCTCGGGATTGCGCACGTCGCAATATTGGGGGCCATAGTCAGACATCTGCCGGAAGGGGCCATAGTATCTTTACGGAATCATCAGTCCTGTCGAAACATGGTTGAAAAGCAGCTAATAAATGATCGGGTGTACCGGTAGAATTGCTGCTCGCGCCTGCCTTCGCCGCGAATAGCTTTGCGAGACTCCCACGTGCGGCCTGACCCTAGGCAAGCACCTCCAGTGCATGCATCTTGCATGACTACCGACGCGATAGAAGGTACTTGTATTCCCGTGATCGTCTGGGCAATAGGATAGTATGGTGTTGGGCGAGAAGGTTGTCAGTAGCGGCAAAAGCAAAGCGCGACGGTTCGCCACCCCTTAGGAATCTCGGGGCTAGCGCATCGTTGCTTCGCGGCCCGACAAGAGACGGGACGCGTCGCGCTGAGCTGGGCGCCAGTAAGATTGGGATTGGCTCGCGCTTTGTTTCCAACTAAAGCTTCAAATCTGACAGCGGACACGAAACCATAATAAATCTTCTGCTACCGTTGGGAAATACTTTGATTTTGCTCTAGAACAAGGTAACTACGTACTTGAGTTGTCGTGACGCATCTGTTCCGAATACGAAATTCCACAATTCGACACTACGATAGGCAGTGGCCTCTGATAGCCCTGGGCAAGCCAATATCCCGCGCTTTCAACACTGACATTAGTGTCATCTTCGGTCGGCATTTTTAGAGGCGGATACGGATAGCGCTCTATAGACCTCCACTGTACGCTGGCCTGTCCGTCATCCAGAGATCTCCACAGCGATCCGTCACGGTATGTGCTCTCCGACTCAGTCCGCTTTTCGCACGGGTGCTCAACCTCGGGATGCAGACGATCATCCCATGCCGGCCAGTAGTCGTCGGTGGGAAGCTCAATCCTCATGTCGCGCAAGCGCGTCGAGCGCCAGAAGGCGTCAAGGAACGTCAATGCCGGACCATGAAGTATCTCATGATCGCGGCTATTGCAACAGATTGATAGGCAAAGGCTTCGGAGGTGTCCGCATTGCCCGGCAATGTTGTCAAGGATTGTCCTCAGGTGATTCTGACTGCAGGATGTTTGACCGCTCTCATGTTTGGAGCAAGGTACCGTGACCACTATCTCGAGTGAAGTAATCGACGCAAGGCGTTTATGCGGAATTAGCCTTGGAAGTCGAAGGAGCAGGAGCTCGTTGTTGATACTGAAGCGATTCTCAGTATACAAGACATTGATCCCTTCCATGTAGGCCTGGCTGCACGACAACAGGAAACCCATGATTCCAACGTCATATGCTTCAGGCTGAGGGATAGAGTGGTTTGGTTTGGTTCTCCTTCGTTTGACTTCCTCCATCCATTGTATGCACCATTCATCCCACGGGCCCTTCCAAGCGTACCGCATGGACGGCTTGATCCGTGGGTCGTTCCGTCTGCAGACAGCCCCCCTCCATTGCCAGGTACCTTCTCGGTATACAAGATCCAGGTGTAGAATGCGCCCACCGAAGGCAATCGATAAGATGATACTCCGGATGTCGTACGGCAGCTGGAAGAAAAGGCTGGTCGATGTGTTGGACGAACTCGGTGTGATTGGTCGTCGCGAAGAGTGTAGATACGGTGGCTCGTCTGGGGATGGTTCTTTGGGGCCCGATTTGACACCCATGTGCCTCCTCAGCCATGCGCTGAGCTTGGCCATTGTTAGGACCCCACAAGGTAGGTAGGAGGAGAAGAGGTCAGGCGAAAAGGCATCAAGCTCTTACCTAGGTACATAGGTAGCCATCGCTTACTGAAGGGAGTGTCGCACGTGCTCTGTAAGCGGCGACGCATTGGCATCACAAAGGGAGCGGCCGCTTATTCCGCTCTCTTTTTCCTTGGCCCCTGCAACAGCCGCCAAGAGCGTGCAAACATCAGCCACTCTCTTAGCGCCCACACACTTCTTCAGGACAGCAGATGCACGCTGCAAGGGGGTTCACATCATTAGCGCCGCGCATAGTTGCAAGGGAAAGTGCTAGGTACGCACCTGCTCGATTTTTGGAAGCTCCTCAGGGTCCAATCTATCTAGCCGAGGCTGCATGCCGCTAGCCCAGATCCACCTTCTCCCCAAAATGTCGGCCAACACCGCGCCGCAAGACACCTTCACCGCAATGAGGCAATCTCGTGGTACTGAATTCGCTCTCCAATAAACACCAAAACTAGGTTGGCGCAGTTTGCGCATGTATCTCCGACATCATCGAAGCGATCACAGCCCCACGCAGTAGTAGTAATCAGGCCAAAGGTTCTGGCAATCATTGCCCACGGCAGGATTCCACTCGTAAAATTGGCTGTACAACGATGTCAGTATGGGCTTCTCGACGGTACAGGAATAGCTGAAAATGGGGAAAAAGCTGGATGTGAAAGTACTCACTCCAAGGATATGTCGGCACCAGACGCCATCGCCCAGCAGAACTCGTCTGGCTGCTGGAGGTGGAAGCGCACACAGTTCTGCACCATGCCTTCGCGGATAGGCGATGGTGTCTGCACTGGCTGCGCCGGCTTCGTCGTAGTGGATATCGGCTGTGTCGACGCAGTAGGTTGCGTGGACTCTGTTATTTGCGTCGGCGATGGCGCGCCTGGAGTCCGTGTTGTCGCTGTGTCTGGGCGACCTATACAGTACCATGCGTCTATAACGATACCGCTGCAATCCCCGAAAACGGTCGGGTTCCACTTCGCGAACTCGGCCTTACTGAAACTGCCAAACATGAGAGCGATGAGGTCGCATGTGTCATCGAAGGTTGTCTTATACCATCTCGCGCAGTCGTTGGGGTACCCCAGAGGAATGTTGCCCTCGGTCGGTTTAGCCGTTTGATGTGCGGGCAGCGGGCGATCGTCATCCGCATAGGCGCCGACGCAATACCAAGTATCGAGCCAAAGGCCCAGGCAATTGCCTCCCAGGGCTGGGTTCCAAGACAAGAACTGCTCTTGTGAGAAGTAACCGTACTGCGTGACAATGTCATTGCAATTTTGGTCGGCTGTGGCCTGGTGGAAAACTTTACAGCTTGAAGGCATAGGCCCATGAGATGGAATTGGCGCAAAGCTCGAGTCGGCCGGGGGTACTGTGGCGCGTGTGTACTGGGTCGGCTCAGGAGGCTCGGTGAATTCTGGCTGAGCCGTCTCCCATACTAGATCAGTATTACCTATCTGCCTCTGGACGCCGACACACACATAGTAATCGGCGATGAGCATCTCACAATCATCCTTGACCGATGGATTCCAGCTGAGAAACTCGTCGATGGACTTTAGGCCAAATTTGACCTGCATTTGCTGACATGTGTCGCCAGGGACGACGCGTGACCACGCATTGCAGATTTCTATCTGTCCCGAGAGCGTCTTGGTAGGCGGCCACGCCTTATCGATAGTTGTGGTCGACACGTTCCACGAGGTAACAGGGTGTAAGACTGAGTATGTCGAGTTGTAAGAGTTGGTCGTCGTCGTGGGGGTTGATGTGAATGATGTCTGAGACGTGATATCCAAGGCGGAGGAAGTTTGGATGTTGGAATTAGACGTGAAGGTAGGAAGAGTGGACGTAGCAGGTCTGGAAGTGTCCTTTCCCAGCCTCACACAGTAAGCCGAGTCGACCCAAAAGTTGTTGAGACAATCGGAAGAAACCGCGGGGTTCCACTCAAAGAACTGTTCCATGGAGATGCCGTAGGCTCTGGCCACGATCTGGCAATTCTCGTCCTTGACCACAGTATGCCATCCGTTGCAGTTCTCGGGCTGACCGGGATGGGTGGCACCGCCGGGGCTAGGATCTTGGGCAATGGTGACTCGGAGAAGTAGGCCAACGGCCAGGCAACGTAAAAACTGGCTAGAGAGATGCATGGTAACTCTAAGAAAGACTGAGTATGCGAACGGCTGATCAATGAAGTTACTGGAGAACCAGAGTGCACAATTCAAACTTGAACACCGGAGCGCGCCGCGGGACTGTGATGCTCTGCTCTGTTTTGACAAGAGAGACAGTGAATGGGTGGACCAAAACAGCGAGGTCTAGTGGAGTTCCCAAGGAATTGAAGTCAAGGATGAAGGTCAGAACAGTCAACGATTACGAAGGTCAAGTGCAGCGTTCTGAATCCAGATCTTCTCATAGAGACCAGGAAACAAGCCGAGGAGGTCTCCACAAGGGCGGGCGGCAACATGGTAGAGTGCATAGTACATGGTGTGAGGTTGCATGCCCAGGTGTGCCTGCATTTAGCCTGTCCGTGCACCTTCCTACCTAGCGAACCCGAGCAGGCCAACATCACCTGCAGGAACTCGCCGTACCACCGGAGGTGGAAATTTGCCCTTTTCATTCAGTGCATTGGATAAATTCACTTGTTTCCAAGCTCATCCTACTCCATGGGTAGAAGCAGGGTGTCGTCGGCAAGGGATAGTACCTTCCATTTCTGTCGACCATGTAAAGAGGATTTGTGGGTATCAATACAATCCTTTGCAGAGGATTCAACCGTAGGATCATTGGTCGGTAAAAGCGGACCCATCATCGTTCGGACTCGGTACGTGCGCGGCATGAAGGGGTGCCAAGACCCAAGGATAGACTCCCCCTTGATCATATGGGCGTTTGATGCCGCATACCATTTGTATGTTGATTGATCGTTGTCTCGTCCCGTTTCGTCAGTGACAAGACGTCTTTTGCTTGCCAGTCTTTTAGCATACTCGTTTTCACACCCGTTTGCCGATTAGCTCGCTCACGATGCATCTCTTCTCCGCACCCATCGCTATTATACTGCTCGTCAGCGCCGAAACCGTTCACGGTGGCAGCAGATCTTGGGAGTCTAAGGCCCCGAACCAGCGGGCAAATCCAACACCGTATTACGAGGACCTGCTTACGTTGAACTCAACGTCCACACTGGTCAAGCGTGCCATGTCTATCAAAAGCTCGCCAGGAGATAACTCAGTGGCACGTATCTGGCCCAATAAAGAGATCAGATGGTGCTTTGAAGAACCCCCAAGTCCTTCATTCAGAGGTCAGTGGGAGACCGCCTTGAAATCATGGCCTGGACTTCTCAGACATGATTTCACCTACAAAGAAGTTGACGATGATGTCTGCAAATCCGAATCCGAACGCAGCTCCGTGCTGCATGTTCGTTATAACAACCGGGGCGTCTTAAAGTCGACAAACGGCATTCCCGCCATTGATGCGGCCGCGGATAAGTCAGATCCCGACACCATCTTGGGACCCTACACAATGCTTTCTGACAAAGAGGGCGTCGGTCAAGGCGACGTAGTTGCCAATATGGCCCACGAAATCGGACATATCTGGGGTCTCCATCACGAACATCAAATTCCTTACTACTGGGAAAAGAGTTTGGAACACACATTTGACCAATGGAACTTTCCCGAGGAAAACCCGGGCCGAGTCAAGCGATTCCAGACTAACGGCTTCATCTGCTCAAATCTCAAAGACTACGACGATATATACGGTGGCTTGGAAGCCAAGGTCAACGCTGCTACAGGAAATGTGAAAAAGGACTTGCAGGCCGATCTCGACCGTCTCTGCAAATCTCGAGTGGTAGCTTCAACGTACAAGTTCAGTGCTGTCGAATGGCTTCCATTAGAACACACCGCCAATTTGGTTATAGACAGTGATTTTGACCCGAAGTCAATCATGCTGTACCCCTCAAATGCTGGCGGCAAGGGAGGCTTTGGAGACGATCGGGAGGACGTCATGAAGTACAGTGACGATACGGTCATCCCGCCACGCTGGTGGCCCAGCCCCATGGATTATGAGCGTCTCATCAAGCTATATGGTTCACCAGCACTATCCACACTGGAAGTTCCGCATACTTCGAAATCAAGCCCGAATTTCAACCTGTTCAAGAAATCCAGTTACAGCAACTTCAGGAAACGAGCTGGCGATACGAAGGACGGGGTGTGTTAGGATTGAAGATATGTACCTACTGTATAGCCGTATTGTAGCTCTTGATCGATGGATATTCTACCAATGTACTCTCAGTTTCACGCAGATCTCCCCCCAAAACTCCTGAAAGCCGTATTTGCATACGACAAGACCATGACTGTGCAACGGCGACGTCCATGGGTAAAAAGAGGAAGATCTGAAAGTTTCCAGAAGCGTGTCGCATGGTTCATGGGATGCGTCGAGTGGCTGCATTATGTGTCTAGAGGTTTATGGAGAACATAATTCAATCTTGGCCAACCTTCCCCAACGGTTATCGCATTGCGCCAGGTGCTGTGTACAAAGCCAAATTCGTATCTACAATTCTTCCCTCTCACCGCACGAAGAGTACTGTATAGGCTTGTACGTGGGTGCTTTGCGCCGTGCGATGTTTTCACCGAGAGCTTCAGTAAGGGTACCGTCATCGAGATCGATGGCCCAGACCATGGTACTGACGTCCAGTCAGCGGGAGATGTTCAACGGGTGTACAATACCATCAAAAAAGATTTTACATACCCACCCAGGCAATGCTGATGCGCAAAATCGATCTTGGACCGCAGAGTCTGCGTATCGTCGAATGACACCCATTGGTTTGTGTCCCAGGTGACGATCTTAACAGCGGCCGCCTCGTCGTGCGTGACACTAGCACCGTTGGCGATGACCTCGTTGATTTCGGCCGCTGACAGCACACCAGGGGTGCCAGTGCACGCGCCGCCGTTGGCGCCCTCAGAAAACTCGCAGCCAGCCGCCATGCATCCCGGGTCCTTCATTGTAAAACTACGGCCATAGAAGCCAAGACCAAGCACAACGCGCGCCGGATTGATGTTATTGCGCCATAGAAGCTCAAGTCCCATCTTGATCTCGGTCAAATTGGTATGGGCTTGGGCGATGGGGCCGAGGCTGTCGATACTGGCATCCCAGACGCCGTGGATGTCGTACGTCATCATGTTGAACCAGTCGAGATAGGGCTCCATTCCTTGGAGATTGAAGCCGCGGAGATACCAGTAAGAGGCGGGCTGTGGAAATTAGTCGTGGTCGAACAACATACAGGTACATCAGAAGTAAAGACTGCTACTTACGAGGGTTAAGCTAATGCCGTATGCTTTACCGGACGAGTTCAAGCGCTCACGAAGTCTTCGTAGAAGGTTGACATAGTTATCGAAGTCGGCAGGTATGCCACCTCGGTCTTCTGCCACAGGACTGAAGCGTGTGCGTCAGCTAGTGTGCTAGATATGAGTAGGGTTTGTCCACCTACTATTCCCAATCCAAATCAACACCATCTAGGTCATATCGCCTCATGAAGGTCAATAGCGAGTCAAAGAACTTGTCTTGCTTTGCCTCGCTGGCGGCCATGTCGGAAAACGCGGTGCGGTATGGACCGGGATCGTTCATAGCCCATCCTCCGACAGCGATCCAGATCTTGAGATCAGGCTGCCTTTCCTTGAGACCCGCGACGCGACTATAGCGCGAACCGGTGCCGGGGTCCATGTCTTCGATTCCAAATGTGTCAGGGTTGATAAGGGCGAAGGCGAAGTTGATGTGTGTCCAGTAGCCTAGGGGAATGTCCTCAGGCTCCATGTTACCGCAAGGACGCTGATAGTTCCAACCCTCGTAGTACCCGATAGTGCGCGCGTCGGCGGTGCGCTGTGAAAGATCACATTGAGGATGCGGGACAGGATTGGGACCACAGAAGTCAACTGTCGTGCCGCAGAAGCCATGCTTGCTACAGCAGACGTTGAGCGGGCATTTAGTCAGGTTCGCATACTGAGAACCCCACTTATCGCCATCACACTCGGACTTGCCTTCACAGTCGCTCGTGCATTCAGGGCCGCAAAAGACAGGGCCAAAGCCACAAGCACCGGTGCCGGTGTCATCGCTAGAGCGTCTGATTAATATGATGACCAATCGTATGTAGCGACAGCTTTAGCTTACAGAGGTCCGCAACATCCAAGATCACACGGCTTCGTTGCGGTGCATGTGTAGTCGGGTGGACCTTCGTTCGCCTCGATGAGCATCTCTCTAGCCTGCGGCGTGTATTCCTGGCCGGCGACGTTCTCCATGAGTAGCCTATTCTTCGCCTGCCCAGCGAATGAGCTCAGATTGAGTGCCCCTGCAGTCAAGAAGAGGCTCAAAGTCACGCTTAAACGCCAGACTGAGGCACCTTGATACGCCATGACAAGCGGCGATGGATGTTCACACAAAAAATGAGAAGTCGTGAATTGAAAGCAGTCAATTCCAACGGTTGTGACGATATGCTGACTGACAAGGTAATGATAGCGATTGACATGAGAGCTTCACCACTGGGAGACGGTCAAGCCTGGAGCAGAGCGATCGCCCGCCCCGTTACCGCCTGACAAATACATCGATCAGGGGTGATCCGACGATGACACTGCGAGACTCGTATGTTAGCAAGGGTCGCAAGGGTCGGTTCGATATCAACTGCATCTTGCCGTAGTGTCTGCTCCGGCAGGATTCACACGCCAAGACGCACGAAGGATCAGGTTGAGTTTTGCCAGGTGGGCCATCAGGGTCCCTGCCAAGCCGGGACGTCACTAGTCTTGGCACCACGATTAGCCGCCGAGCACACTTTGGGCGGCCAGTGCAAGCCTTACCGAGTATACACCAACACATGTTCGTTGATGCAGGTACGCCCTTGCCGCATGACCCTCAATTGCATGCGCATACTGTCTGCATTCTTAGTCTATGGGGCTGTTGCCAACCTTGTCTCGGAAGACCGGAATGTTGATCCTAGCCAGGCAGGTACCTATCCTTCACAATCCCATGAGCTGGGTCGTATTGCGCAAATCTACCGCTTGCCCTGGTTTGTTCTGGTCTTATCATTTACCTGTGAAAGACTACATGACGTGGTCTTGGCTAAGAATCCTGTGGTTGCATCGGGGCGACAAAGGGGCATCGCGACTCCCTGCCTAGGTGACATGAGACCATCACCTTCCTGAGGCACTTTCGTTCCCCGTCTCTTCCGACTCTTCGTCGTGTTTTCCAAGGTCCTATAGCCTCTTCCGATTGTTCGTACCATTGGTCATACGCACTCTGCTTCTTGCACTTGCTTCATTCATGTCGCTTTTTCCACTCTAGCTATTGTCGTCATGATGATATTCAACTCATTAATTGGCGTTTCGCTTCTGTTCGGCGTGACAAGAGGCCATCGCTCACACCATGCGCATCACGAAAAGCATAGCAATCGAGAAGCAACACAACAGCACTCAGCACCTGTATCGTTGGACAATACTTCTTCGTTCGCATCATCTACTCTTCACAAGAGGGATAACGATCCAGCCGACATGGAATGGATCAAGCGCTGGGCGGCCATTGGTGATAGCTACACGGCCGGTATTGGTGCCGGAAGATCCCTTGGTCACAGGATCACTGCCGACGAGGTAGCTATAACAGAGCCCGATGGTCTGTCAGAAGTTCGCGACAATTGGAGGTGTGCCAGATACGACATGTCGTACCCTAAGGTCATAGAAGCGCAGTTCGGCGCCCACATCGAATCGGACGGCGGCTTCCAGTACCTCGCCTGCAGCGGCGATCGTTCGGAACAGATTTACCAGCAGGCACAGGCCCTGGAGGGCAAGCTCGATTTCGTCACTTTTACCTCTGGTGGAAACGACCTTTGCCTGTCCAAGATGATCGCGGACTGCATCATGCTGCCCTACGGCAAGACATCCGCCTGTGAGACGGTCATCGCAAAGGCCCAGGACAATGCGAAGAATATCATCACGGACAACATCTATCAGATTCTGGAAGCCCTCAACGAGAAGATGAACGATGACGGCATCGTCGTCGTGAACAGTTATGCTCAATTCTTTGACACGCAGAAGGACAATTGCGATCGCCAGTCGTGGGATCTCTGGTGGTTCCTCCCATTAGGTGCCTCATACCGGGCTCTCACCATCGAACGTCGCCACGTCTTCAATCAGCTGGTGCTTGACATCAACCAAGCAATACGCGACGCGGTCGATAAAGCCGCCGAGAGTGAAGACATCAAGTACAAGGTTGGCTACGCCGACTGGGACGTCTGGGTCTCGACAGTGGTGGACGGCCGAATGTGCTCGCCGAGCAGCAACGGCGACTATCCAGACGCCAACCAGCCGGACATGCACTTCATCAAGCCCGACACGCACCCTTGGGGTGAATGGACGGACGACTTCGAGCGGTCAGAGCTACGAAAGCGTGATATGGGTCTCGAAGAGATGCTGAACTCGACAAGGCTGTCCAACTCGGAGAAACGCAGACTGAACCGTGTCAAGGCCATGATGGAGGCTCGTGACCGCAGTCTGGAACGCACACTCTACGACTCTATTCTTTATAAATCACCTGACCCTCGTGCTGCCATTAGACACAAGCTCGACTCCCGGGCACCCGCGCCACCAGACTGCCCCGGGGATGGCGGCTTTGACTGGACGTTCGGCATGGGCATGCCCGATCACATTGCTCAAAATGCAGGTACCCCTTGCGTAAGCGCACGCTTTTCCAATGTTCTTTTGCTGACCGCCGCAGTTCCATCCCAACGAAGCTGGTCACCTGACCATCGCGTCCTTTGCCCTCGCTGAACTCATGGACCTGCGATCAATTGTCCTGGGCGTCGATTCTCCAGCATGCAACGCCGTCACGAACGAGTTTACTTGTTACTCAGATACCGGTAGTAAGTTCTACGTCAGTGGAAACCGCACCAATGAGAGGTATGAGGAGTTTTGCAAGGACGTCGACGAAAATCACGACAAGAACAAGGTCAACTGGAGCTTCTCCAGGAGCTACGACGTTGGCACACCCGAAGAGTACGACTTTACCGTCACCCTTGGCAACGGGGTTTCGGCATTCGACAAAGACGAATGTATCGACTCGATGGAGCACATTATCAACGCGTGCGATACAGAAGACAATCCCATGAGCTGGAAAGGAGGCGGCCGGTACATTCGCGGTGGCGGGGACTACAAGTATGAGCTCAACCCTCGCCGTGCCAATCGCATCTGGCCACCGCCGAAGGCGCCTTACGGCCGCTGCGAAGGCTGGTACAAGGGGTTTCACAGCCGATATAAGGTCCAAGGTACCGGCTTCTCCACATGGGATCACGGCAAAGACACCCTTCGGCCCAACATGGACAATTGCTATGGACTTGGCACGACGCTCTGGAAGTTCGTGTACCATGACAAACCAGCTGAGCATGAGAACTTCGAATGGTATGCTACCTTCAGTACACCACTCTGGGTTCGCGCACGCTGTTGGGCCAATAACAAGATTGTTAAGGCAGCCCAAGGGTGGACAAACGGTTGCGGTGGTAATGATTGAGAGCCGAATCGCAGTGTGAGCAGACTTCATTCCATAGATTTAGCACTTGCCTCGAATTGATAGCCAGCCCTTGCTTCACATACATGAGCCTTTGAATCCTGCAGACGCACATTTTTTATTCTTCCACATCTATCGACATGTGAGTTCCTTCGCGATGGCACCAGCAGTCGCACAGGAAGTCACACCGTTTTGTCTGGCCAGTTGTGTGTCCACGCAATCTTGCCGTTGTTATGCTGATGGCCAGATACTGCTAGAGGCTGATCTTGATCTGCAGGATCGCTCGCTCAACCACGTCGTTAATTGCTGTACATACCGACGTCATTGCCGCATCTGTATTGACTCCTAAAGTGATTAAGAGCGATATGTCCGTCTGTTACGTGCACCATGGCTGGATTGCAGCAAGTCAATACAACCTTCAAGTGAACAAGTCGAATTGAGAGTCGTAAATCGCTAATCATATTCAGTCCAACGCCATGCTGATGCTGAGAATCATGCCGTGATATGGTACAAAGTCTTGGTATACACATCGTCCCCCTCTTGCTTATTCATTCAACCCTTGACCTCCTTCTCGAGTAGTTCTTTCGCTTCGTTGACCTTGGTCGCAAGGTATGGGCTACCGCCGCGATCGGGGTGGTTCAGGAGCATGAGCGATCGGTGCTTCTTTCGTAATAGTTCTTTCGTGATGCCGCGTTCGCTAGAAATAGTCAGTCCTCTGGTACCTATAAGGCATATGTGAATTCTCGCTGGACTTACGGCATCTCTAATATGAGTGCAGCTTCTCTCCGTGTCATCTTCGGCTCAAAGCCGCCTTTGTAGTATCCACGTCCTAGCGCTCCGGCTCCACCGCCTGATCTCCGTAATGCTACAAGTGCTGCGCGACCCTACATCTTAAAGTCAGTACATCTATACGATCTTCCATCTTATTCTCGTAGTTCTCGATCCAGTCTATCTGGGAACATGACTAAGGAAATTGGAGGCCATACGAAGAAAGCAGTGGCACCGGCGCCCAATATCCAAACCCAGGCAGACATCTCGTCACACTATCTGGGCACAACTATGCGATTTCGGTGCTTCGGTATGCGGGTTGTCGGAGCTCGCGATACGGCGACGATACGAGGGCACGTCAGATGGAGATACTTAGGTGGATGGCGGCGGCGAGGTGGTCAGAAGGAAATTTGCGGAGGTGCCTCGGTCGAGAAGCATCGCAATTGGCGGGCCAGATTGGCAGGTGGGTTGGCGTGCACAGGCCACCCAAAATTTCGAGCCGGCGAACTTCTCGAACCGTAACCTCCACACCTTTACACGACACCCGCCTCACCACCGCCAACACCCTGAAGCGTGGTCAATTCTTATATATTCCGATCTCAGCCCGTGCTGACGATTACTGTGACGCGGAAAGGCGCATACCTATACACGACAAGGACGAGCGCGATCGCATTCGCGCCACGACGATAAGATGAGAATTGAGACTTGCTACTTCTGCTCTTCGCCGGTATACCCGTCCAAGGGTATAACCTTTGGTATGCATAAACAATCACACCTCAAAGAGATCCTTGCTGACTCATCAGTGCGCAACGATGCAAAGGCCTTCCGCTTCTGCAAGAGCAAATGCCACAAGAACTTCAAAATGAAGCGCAACCCCCGCAAGCTGGCCTGGACCAAATCCTTCCGCCGCGCGCACAACAAGGAAATGACCGTCGACTCCACCCTCACCTTCGCCCAGCGCCGCAACGTGCCCGTGCGATACAACCGCGACCTCATCCAGACCACCCTCAAGGCCATGGGCCGTGTATCCGAGATCCGGCAGAGGAGAGAGCGCGCATTCTACAAGGCGCGCATGCGTGGCAACAAGCAGAGGCAGCGTGAGGAGGACAGGAAGTTGGTTGAGGAGAACCAGCACTTGCTGCCGCCGAGCGAGAGGTTCGCCAAGGAGGAGGTTGAGCAGGAGGAGATGGAGGTTGATGTGCAGAAGGTCAAGGAGAAGGTCGCGGCTAGGAGGAAGGAGCTTGAGGCTGAGGAGAGCGAGCTCAGTGAGCTTGAGGAGGAGCTGCCCAAGCAGAAGACTAAGACGAAGAAGATGTTGAAGAGGAAGGTTGGTGGCGGTGTTGAGGCTATGGATGTTGACGAGTAGGACTGCGTCTAGGGTACAGATGGTATCTTCTGCGATATGAAAGGACTTTTCCCGACAGTCATTGGATGATCTTCCGACATAGTCATGGAGTTTGGCGTCTCACATTATGGTAGATTACGGACATGATTTCGATACCACAGCAAAAGCATCTTTCCATCCCAAAACCTCACGGCCGAGTGTAGCTTGATGCAGCATGTACTTGAGAATGCTCAGTCTTGTTGACACACCTTTATCCATTATGTGCATCGCGCTGAGGTTCTGCATCTTCATCAGAAATTACTCTAGTCACGACACTCCTGGGGAGCATGGCATGCATTGTGGGATAGCCGCGTACAAGAGTGGCTTCTTCCAAGAGTGTCCACGTGATCGCGCTCTGACGCGCTAATCTTGATCGAGGCTCGGCTCGGCTCCAGGTTAGCTCCGGGCTGCCGCTGCCATCAATTCGTCCTATGCTACTTCCCTCAACCACGACATCCATCTCGATCGACTTGCCGCCGGCGCAGCGCGCTTCTCGTTGGTTCTGAAACACGACTGGACACTAGTTTCGATGGTTGAGATTCCGTTCGAGCACAGCTTCATGTCGCGTAGCCTTGCAGCGCCGAAATGACCACGCGTGCAGCCTCTTCGCATCGGTGCACTCGCGGCACAGCCTTGCGTGGTAATGGGGCATTCCTTACAAGTCAAGGCTGACATCCTTCCGCTTCTAGAGAAGCTTGATTATCTTGAACGGCTTTACTGGTATTAACGGGTAATGCTAAGGCACGGCTCATAGGCTACGATAGATTTGCAGCTTTTGTCAGGCCAATGGCCGGGCCTGACAACACTCCAGCATGCAGTACCATGATGCTTTGTGGCTGTCAGACCGCTGCCAATCGCCACGCAACAGCTGTCCGCTTTACCGGTGACGCAGACCGGAAGGCTTTCTGGCCTTGGTCATCCCCACCTCCACTGCTACCTTCCTTTCGAGCTACTTACGCTCTCTTGTGAGCCTATTGTGGAGCCTCGGGAGCCTTAGTGTCTTGTGTTCAGAGTCAAAACTCAAATCTTGTCGAGATGACCTCCTCCACGCAAATAACAATGGCCGTCTCGATCGTTGCAGGCACCAACGGCCTATTACAGCTGGGCTTATCAATCTCCGACCTAGCCTTACTGATTGACCAAGGCAAGAAGTTCGGCAATTTCGTTCGCGCTGGACAAAACGACAACGATCTGTTTGATGTTCTCGATGAAGACCGAGAAGCGGTACTCAAAAGGCGTGGACTTGCGAATGCACCTGAGATGGAGAAGAGATGGCCAATGATGGATTTTGTCCACCAAGGAGTAAAGGTAAAGGGCAAGATCGGGCAAGGCTCGCGAACTGAATCGTCTTTGCGCGACGCGAATCATCGGAAAAAGAAGGCGAGCGCTCGCGACGATGTGGACAGCTTCACGTGGGTTATGGTCGCGATCACTTCCGCGTTGGATGAATGTCTGCCATCAAGTGAGATTCAAGAGATGCTAATTGACGTCTTTGTCGAAGTATTGGGTCGCGATGATGACATTGCACCTGCACTGAGAGTGACCATCAAAAAGAACATCGAGTCTTGGAGGTCTTTCGGATGTGCTAGAGAGATAGCCTTCGCGATCAAGAAGGAGATGCGGAAGAGTTTAGCGAACGGCACATCCAATACGTCCTTAGCACGTGCCATCCCTCAGCTGAACGAAGCAGAAACGGAACACACGAGACATATGCTGATATGGCTTCTCAACGGGGATGTGGCCGTCTTCAATGCCATGTCTCCAATCACCTTTTCTATTGCTGAAGCTTTGAGAAAGGTCGACCTCGATCTCTGCACGGATGGTCGCCCTGCCCACGAGGGACAAGCATGCGTCATGTATCATCATGAAGGTCAACGTCTTGGAATGCCTGGCTTCGGCACGATTTCAGTCCCAAGAGGATTAAGTTCCAGACCTCTCCAGATCTCATGGCCTCGCGACAATCCTGAGTCAATGATCGACGCGCTTGGAGTCGGTCGCTCGTTGGAAAACCTCATGAATCAATCCTGGCAGCGTGGGAAGATTGTTGCCGGTGCTATAGAACTGGTAGGACAAGCGGACGGACCGTATGAAGCCTCTCAAGAGGTTTATTACTCCCTCCAGGTTTCTGACCATACACGCGTCAGCAAAAAATACGACCCTCACATCGGTATGCTCGCCGATCAAGGACTTCCCGCAGACACCGAAGACACATATAGTGCTCTGGAGTGGATTCTGCAAGGGGAGCCGCCAGACAGCTCGCGGTGGCTTCACAACCATGTTGCGCAAGACTATCTGCTCCGAGTCGACAAAGCAGATGCGGTTCCCGAAGATCTGTACAGACCGGTATATCTCAAGTACCAGGCCTTTGTATTTGGCTTCTACTATCAGCTTCTGACACAACTCTTATCCTTTACATTGGTGGAAGCCACCGCCTTCTTCCATGGGATATGGGGCGCAAATAGCACAACATTCTTAGCCATGTGCACTCAGCTCGGTCGATGTTGGCGGCGGGATGAGAAGGTTAGTCGGGCCCATATGCTCTACGTACTTTCAGCAATGTACAACGGCCGTCGCAAAGTTTATGACACAGACTCGAAGCTTCCCCGTCTTGTCGGTGTCCTTGGACCCATTTCAGTGCTAGCACTGCCCCTCGTCCGTACTACAGACGACCCAAAGGAAATTGCCAGGATTGCCGTCGTCGACCTGCCAATCGTTGATCTCAGTGCCGAGGGTGCTGATGGGGATCTCATGGCAAGCGAAGGCGGAGGAATACGTTTCGAATTCCCTGGCAAGGACGACAGCTCCACAACTATCACACAACCAGCTTGTCCCAAAGACGACTGGATCGTACACCCATACATGAGCATAGCATTAGGTGGAGATGGCATCAGTGGCGTGGTCATGGCAGCTCGGTGTGGCAAGAGGCTTGTTGGGTGGTTCAACCCACTGGCTGCCGACATTTCCTTCCTCAGTCCAGCCTATGTGAAGGAGTCCTACAGTGAAGGCGATGTGGTTGCATTCGAAGTAAGGGACGAACACTGGGAAGCTGGCAAGGCTCTACAGCCAAGCTTGAGCAACCCGGGCTCTGCGTTCGGCGTCGTACGCTCTCACAACTCTCCCAGTCACCGGTATGCCGCTGCAGGTTTCTATGCAGAACGAGGTGAGGAGATAGCGATTGCTCGGTCTGCTACCGAATTCCGTGGCGCCTTCGATAGGATTGAAGCACAAGATCGCGGTATGGTCATCGCGTAAATGCTCCGCGCGGCTCTCGATTTCGAATAGTATCAGTTGAATTACATTTCACTCTCCTCGGCATCTTCACGAAGGAGTACTACTAAAACTACTGCTGCATCTACAGATTTCCGTGCTGAGGTCAGTATTTGAGTATGCAGGCTACTCTTATTCCCATAAAGCGGAGGATCTGCGGCTCACGGGTTGAAGTTGGGGTGGGGACCGTGCGTTGAGCTGAGTCGATACACGACGGAACTGGCACCACTGATTGCGCGATCGTCGGAGCACAGCTTTGTATCGTGCAGCCTTGCAGCACCGAGACGGCGACGCAAAGACGCTGCACGCGCGTCACAGCCTTGTGTCTTCGACTAGCGTCCTTTACCACTTAAGGCTAACATACTCCCGCTTTTAGAGGGCCCGAAGGCTTTCAGAGGCTTTACTGGTGGCAACGGATAACGCTAGGAGCGACTCACAGGCTATGATGGCTTCGCAGAGTTTGCCAGGCCAATGGGCTACACTACAACATCCACTACTCTGATGCAATATCCCAAGTGTCTGACAATTGGCTTGCCTCGAATAGATGAGCATGGCAGGTCGGCGACCAGATCAGAGAACGCTAAGTAAGATCCGCAGCTTGCGGGTAAATGCGGGGTGGGGGCCAAAGTATGTCGAACTGAGCGCGTGCTCACCACTCATCAACACGCGCCGCTGGTACTTTCTTTTTATACCGGCTCGGATCATCTCGTCATCAACTTCGTCCCACGCCAACAGGTCACCTTCGCTTCCAGGAAGGCAATGCGTTGCGCTGTTCGAAGACTATACATCGATTGACATTGCTACTCCATGGCTATCCAGGGCATAGCCTTGTGCTGAGAGCCTAACGCCATAAAGGGAAGCATGTCTAAAATGAGCGGGAGTGGCTTTCAGGCATCCCTACAGCGCCACAATCGGGGCCGTCTGACCGCAGCGAAATGATCATGCTTCGCCCTGCTCCTAACGTTGTTAGTGCGTTCAGACGCTCCCAGTCTATCCTTACAGAAGGCAGTATTGCATAAACAGCTCACTTCTCTAGACGCACGCAGGAAACCGGGTCTGTCGGTATCAAACTATCAACACCTTCCAAGACTAACGCGACTATGCGCCTTCTACAACGTTCGTCCGACTCTGTCGGCTTCAGCCTTGTTGAGCGGTTCAAGGAAGAAGTCCCGCCCTACGCAATCCTATCGCACACCTGGGGTTCGAACGAAGACGAAGTCACATTTTCAGATATGAGAGACGAGCGAGCCAAACGTATCCCTGGGTACAGCAAGCTAGTCTTCTGTTCTGAACGCGCTACTAGCGACAAACTAGATTTCTTTTGGGTCGACACATGCTGCATTGACAAGAGCAGTAGTGCTGAGTTAACGGAAGCCATCAATTCCATGTACAAGTGGTACCAGCAGGCTGAGAAGTGCTATGTTCTTCTTTCCGACGTGGAGATCGATGTACCAGTGGAAGACATATCTGAAGAACAATGGGTGCAAATATTCCACAGCAGTAGATGGTTCCAGCGCGGTTGGACACTGCAAGAGATGCTTGCGCCGAGAGTTGTCGAATTCTTCTCCAGAACAGGCAAACCACTGGGCGACAAAGTCACATTGCTACAAGCTCTCCATCTTCGAACCCGGATACCCGTTCTGGCACTCCAGAGCGGTTCAGTAGAAGATTTCAGCATCGACGAACGCATATCATGGATTGAGGGACGTCAGACGAAAAGAGAAGAGGATTCAGCATATTCTCTATTGGGTTTGTGTGACGTCTACATGCCGCTAATATACGGCGAGGGGTTTGGGAGGGCCTTGACCCGGTTGCGCAACGAAGCCGAGCGCTCGCTGCACGATAAAGTGCCAATCGATCTACCTGGGGCACGTCGATGGACGGTTCCTTTTCGGCGCGAAACCGAATTCCATCATGGCGACTGCTTAGAGAAGGTGTATCAGATATGCTCTCAGAACGGTGGCTGGGCGTCCCTGATTGGACCCGCGGGCGTTGGGTACGTTTCTCCGTTTATTAGTAGTGACAGGGTACTGATATAGCAATCAGGAAGACACGACTTGCTATCGAATACGCCTATCGAGTACGATTTCAGACCCCAACGAAATGGGTTTTTTGGATCAATGCAGAGACGCGCGCAAGTTTCAGAGAAGGTTTCAATGCAATCGCCGCAGCGGCGAAGATTAATCACTGGAACGATCCTTCCGTCGACATATGTCCAATCGTGTATAGATGGCTATGCGATATCGCAAACGGGCAATGGACAATGGTGGTTGACAATGCTGAAGATGCCGACACCTTCTTCGTGTCACGCATATCGCGTAATCATGCAACAGCGGATCCGATTTCATCCGTGGAGCGACTCTCCAACTTCCTTCCAATATCGCCCAACGGGTCGATCCTCTTCATCACTCGTAATCGAGACTTTACGCGGGGGCTCAGGGGTGTCAACAGTGATATAGCGAATGTCGACGTCCGAGACTACGCTTCGTTCGACATAGAAGACCACGTATTACCGATTCTTCAAGAAACTCCAAATGCTTCCGAATCATCACAGCTCTTGGAAGACAACGTGGCTGCATTGCAACCGGACAAAAGTAGAGCCGAACCCACAGCGCCTAGAAAGGAAGTCCCCGTGTATTGGACATCCGTAAGTCTGTTTCGCGGTTCTTGCTGAGATACGCTAACATTCACATCAGCGTGGTAAGCGCATGTTCGACAAGTACGTTGACATAGACCATGGCGCTGTAAGGGAGCTCGAACGAGAGCTGCAAGCACGATACAAGACTCCCAAGAAGGATACGCCTCGCATCTTCGCACAAATACTGCGCACCTCAAGTCGGCAGGGTGGAGATGGGAAAATGACAGACTCGGAGGCCGAACGGGGAGAGTGCGAGTTGCAGACTCGTTCCGGTGTACCCCGCCCAGTTCATACTACGGCCGCATCTGAACGTGGATTCGAAGATCGAGAAGGGGAGCCCCTTCGCCTGCTGGTCTGTGTGAACGCTCAAGGGAAGTTGAAATTGACGCAGGAGGATCTGCAACACATCAACGACGATCGTCAACTATTCCAGCACCTTCGAAAGCGACTTTTGGCCAACCAACATCGGGTGACCCTCACAGATATCAGAAGTTTCACTTTGGCCAAGGTAGGCTTCCAGGAGAGATATCGTCTTACTTGGGACTGACAATTCACCAGTTCTCGCTCGATTACAACAACGACCCTGTGGTCTATACACACCAAGATTCGTGTAACGTCTTGACTAACGGGCTTTACCATCCAGATTCGGGATTCTATTGTATCTGCCTTCCGCCAGAAGAGATGGTCGGAAATGACAAGGAATACATTTGCAACCCAGCTCCGAGATCTCGAAACCGGCGACTGATGCCAATCCTTGGTTTCAACATGTTGAAACAAGACCTTCTAGATCCTGATGCTATTGCAGCTGGTCAAAGAACAGTCCTTGACCAGCTGCCGAAACGGAGACTCCCTGGACAACTCAAAGCCATTCCAGGAAGCGATGTTACAGGTTGGGGTCTCTATATTGAGGCGGGGCGTCCTTCGTCAAGACGCGGCTGTTGCCTATTCTTGTTCTTGGCGATAGTAGTGATCTGCTTCGTCGTAGGCTTTTCTTTCGGCCTTAGACGGCGATAGACCCGACCCTAGAATGGAGGACAGAGGTCTATTATCTACATCTTACTCTCTTTCGCAACCTTCACAATAAACCCCAGGCGCGGAAAATGAATTCTTACATCCAACTCGGCCTTCTCATGCGGCTTGATGACAACCTCCTCGCTTCCAATCTTGACCAATGTGCCCTTCGTGGGGTTACCGCGTCCAGTGTCATCTGGAACAACGCTCACTCCCACCCCCGGTACCATCCCTCTCCGAGTATCAAGCACCTCATGTGGCGCAACCGCCGTAGGAACCAGCAGCTCTCCGTCGCCTAGCAAAGGCGTCCGTCTCAGCGCCTCCTTCCACCGCATATCGCCTTCCTTCACCGTTGTTTGCGTATCTTCCAAACCCTCAATATATCGCTCAAACGCCCCGAACCACCTCATCAACCCCGGAAACCTCTCCGCATTAAACACCACCCCCACAACATCCTCCTCCCCATCCGTATCCCTCGCCCCACCACCACTCAGATCCCCAATCCCCCTTCCAGCCCCAATATCCATACCCCACCGTAACTGATAGTACAAACTCAAATCCGCCAAACTTGGCGTCTGCGTCGGCATCGCCCACGTGCCAGACATAAACATCGGTTCCAGCATCGAGAGGTGCATGTCCAGAAGCGAAAGGTTGTCTGGGATTTTGGCTTGGAGTTTTTCGGGCTGGATAGGGTGCCCGATTAATTGGGCGCGGTCTTTACCGAAATCTGAGGACCAGACTGACGGCGGTATAAAACCTGTGGTCGTTCTGAACAACGGTTTCTGCTCTAGTCAGCATACGGGCACCACACCTTCCCCTTACCCCTTCCCCCTCCCTTTCTCCCTGTCCTCTCTCCAAAACAAGACAACAAGAACACAAAACACTTACATCCGTCCAAAACCCCGCAAACCCCCTCGCCATCGCCCTATACTTCCACTCTCCTACTCCCAAACCCTTTGCTTCCGGATACACAGTACCCCAACCCTGCTTCCCTGGGAAGAAATGCTCCAAGGCTTCGATGATGAGCGAGGTGTCGCAGTAGATGTGTCGTCCGATTGCTAGGATGGGGATGCGGCGGTATTGGAGGCCGAAGGTTGAGGTTATGAGGGGACGGGGGAGCATGGAGGGGACGGGGATGTATGCTGAGGTTGGGTGGTTAGTGATGGGTTAGTGGGGGGGTGGTGGGAGGATGGTGGTGCGGATGGTGGAGGCTTACAGAAGGGGATTTGTTTGATGCGGAGGGCCAAACGGACTTTGTTCGTAAATGGACTTGCTGTGCTGTGGTCAGTTTGTGTGGAGCATGTGATTGATGGGGATGTGCTCACAGTCATAGCCGAACAAGACCACCGGTGGGTGGTTCGTCGGTGGCGCCATGTGTGTTTGATTATATTATAGCAATTCTGTTGTTGTATGCGCTTCTAAACTGTAATGTTTATGGAAGAGAAACAACGGAGTGGTGATGCCAAGTGGTGATGTCGGCATACCCCGCCCAGCCATTGACGTGCCGAGGTCCTGGTCGGGACGTACGGCATGCGATGTAATCGATCAAATGTCAATCGAGTATGTTTTAAACTGTTGTATATGGTGTTGCCGGTTATTTGCGAGTCGCGATATCATGTTTTCTGAAAGATGGGCAACTTGATTGACTTGTGTCACGAAAGAGTTGTAGGGCGGAAGACGGTTATGTGCATATTTACTGTGACAAGAGATAATTCAACAACAGTAGCTGTGCAGTGCTCTACAAACCCTCCTTTTGATTCAGCCTAATCCCCCTCTCAACAAGCCCTTCAATCCATCCATTAAACTCTTGCCTCATCTCCGCAGGCAGCACGTGCCCCTGACCCTTGATAAAATGCTTCTCAATTTCACCTTGTTGCCAAACATCGTCTCCCTCTTCAACACCTAACCAATTCTCTTTACCCGTTACACCCTCGCCCTTCTCCAATCCCCGCCAAAGCACAACGCCCAGAGGGAACGTCAGCATACGATCCTTAGTCCCGTGGACGACCATGATTCTGTTCTTGCCGACCGTCTTCGCGATCTGTTGGAGTTGCTCCGGGCTCTTGTGATGCCATCCCGCGGCAATGGCTTGTAGCATGAAGCCCGCCTTGCCAAAGTATTGGGGGTGTTGCCGTTTCCAGAGTTCGTTGGCGGCGAAGCGGTCGCCGTTTGTGGGGAAGGCTTGGACAACGGGTTCGAGCGTGTCGGGCGAGTCGAGCCATTGCTGGGTGTAGAGATTCTTCTTCACGCCTTCGATTTGGGCATCAAGAGACTTCGGGATGAAGAGGTTGGCGCGATTAATGAGATTTTCGAGGAAACCCTGGAGGTGTGAGTCGACGAAGGGTATGGGATGTAGTGCTACGTACGGTTGTTCGGAACAGTTGTGCGGCTGTTGATACTAGCGACAGTGTGCATATCCGCTCCGGTATTAACATAGCCTAGATGTTTGTTAGCGAGAATGCATTTCGAAAGCATGAATATTGTCCGCAATAGGCAATTCCGCCGCATCCCCCACGATCGACATACACAACCGGAGATCATATGTGCTCTACTATCGAACACGTGGGGGTGGGGTCAATCGAGCGGAGCGGAAGATGAAAGCGCCGATGAGATTACAGGATGATGCTGGGTGTCAGAAGTCCAGAGAAATGTTTCTGGCGACTACATGTCGAGGATTTGTGTTCAATAACGGAACGTGTAGCTTCCGAGTCGAAGATCATGACGATAAAGATATTGTGGACTTACAATCTCCTGAGCTATCATTCCACCCATGCTTATGCCAATGACGTGCAGTTCACGCTTGCCGGTCCAGCCGATGTGGTCGAGCACTTCGACCAGGTCTTGAGCCATGGCAGAGGTGGAGTATCTCGACGTGGGCTTGTCGGAGTCGCCGATTCCCCGATTGTCAGTCACCAGCGACGAGTACTGATCGCCTTTGTTGTGGGCGAAGTCTTTCGTCTGGCGCTGCCATGCATACTTCATGCCACCAAGGCCCATAACCCACTACATAGCGTCAGTCGTTGAGTCTTCACGATAACGATGTGTACGGAAGATGCCGGAAGCGGCTATAGAGTGAAATGTATAAGTGTGCGAGTTGGACAACCTGAGACACGACGCAGACGAGTTGAGACGGTCATTGTGACTGAAACGAAACGGTGACAGGGTGCCGGTACCCGTGGATTGGTAGAAGAGGAACATTACAAATGCATCCCGGTCAAGAACAAGCTTTCTTTGGCGTGATATGCAGCGCATCATGTTGGAGCAGATATTAATACCGAAAGTGGGGCGACTTACCACGAGGTGTCTGTCGCCATGGCCGTGGACCTCGTAAGCGATGTTAAGGGGGCCGCCACGGTCTTTGGCCACAACGGCCTTGCCTTTCTTTTCTGGTTTGAGGTCCCAGATGGTGTGGTTGAATTCAGGATGTTGCTGCAGCTCTTCGACAGTCATTGGTGCCATGGCGGGGAGTGGTGCAAGCCTCGATCTGGAAAGTTAGTCAGAGGTTCAGGTGGAATGTCAGGAGGGGCGGAGATGCGAGGATGCGACGGGAGTGGTGGCGCAGCAGGGTGGACAACGTTGTCGTGTGGCTGCCGCTCGGCATGTGTCTCTTGGTAGCGGTGTGCCCATAGCGCATCCCGGCAAGCGACAGGTACGCGAGCGTTGGAAGCGGAAGGGACCAGGAATGCTGACGTACTATTCTTGTAGGCGCTTACGAGCCTTGGAGTTGGTAGGTCTAGGCTGCAGAATAAACAATTCTAGGCTTACAGAGTAGTATGCTCTAGACTGGCCTGGTGAATGTCAAAGGAATAAGCTGTATTGATTAAGTTGCTAGGCGTATAAAGTTCTTCACCTGCCAAACGCGTGGGAGAAGCAATATCGCAACGTCATGTCTACTAGCCCGTTTCCAGCCCAGCTGGCGTGGCTCGTGTCTGACTAAGGCGGGCTGGACGCGCGAACTACGGACGACGCGGCTCTCTAGGCTGGCCGTAGTTATTGACAGTAGACGCGGAGAAGAGCTGCCTCAGGTGTCGTCTCAGCTGCTACCCGTCGACTAATCACCCTTACCGCCATCCTCGTGTTGCCGTTTTTAGCGGGCGTTGCGCATCTGCAACAGGCCAAACAAGCTTTCTGCCTCACCCGTTCACCGTCGGCCACGATTCGACACTCGGCGAGTCTGCGACACCCACCCCCAGGGCCCTGTAGATGCGATCCTCGGCAGCGTTTCACCCTGCTCAGCACTAGACCTCCAGACCCCCAGCACGACACCCCTCCGCCCTCACAAAACACCACCAGGCCCCGGATACTCGCGAGGGCCCAATTGCCCGACGACCTCACGACTGACGACATAGCGCTCCTAATACACCATGAACCCCCCTCCCAACGGCTTCTATGCCACCGGCCCGCCCATGATGAACCCTCCGCCGCCGCGTCTGTTCGGCAGCGGCACCTACGACCCGTCGCAGATGCCGCCGGGCAACATGTTCAACCTCGACGACGACGACCACAACGACAGCGACCCCAAGCGGCGGCGCATCGCACGGGTACAGCGCGCGGACTTGAGGGTGACGACGGCATGCTGACAGGATTCAGGCGTGCGACATGTGCCGGAAGAAGAAGATCAAGTGCGACGGCAAGATGCCCTCGTGCACCCACTGCCAGAACTACAAGACCGAGTGCATCTTCACCCAGGTCGAGAAGAAGCGCCAGCCGCCAAAGGGGTAGGTGCGACAGAGGTGTTGCGCACATGGCATACTGACCGTGCACAGCGCCAAGTACATCGAGGGTCTGGAGAACCGCCTGGCGCGCATGGAGTCGCTGATGCGCCTCTCTGGCGTCCTACCCGATGACGACGATGGCAGCACCGACCTGGCCACACTCGAGCGGCGGCTGGAGGCACGAGCCGGGCGATCCGCTACACCCCGGAATAGCATCGACGACCGACGAGCCTCCATGGCACCGCCCACAACGGGCCATTCGACCGCCAATGGCACACCAGCACAGCCAGCTCTCCCCAGTCCGAGGAGCGGCACCGCCTCACCAGAGCCCCAGGAAGAGATGGACACCACCAAGGACAAAGACAAGGAAGAAGACGCGCTCGCCGAGATGATGTGTTCCCTGGTGACGAACAACTGCGGAGAAACCAGATATATCGGTATGTGCTCCATATCCGTCGTCTTCACCACTAATAATCCCAGGTTCATCCTCCGGTTTCTCCATCTTCTCGCCCAAAGGCATACAATGGGTCAACGAAAAGACCGGCGACAACTCTTTCCGCGACATGATCTCCACAGCCGCCGTCGAGGACAACAAGTGGATCCAATGGCGGCCTGACGTCTTCCAGGACATCTTCAAGCGCCGCGTCTACAAACAACTCCCGCCCAAGCACGAAGCTCTGTCTCTACTCAAGGACTATTTTGAGAACTTCAACTGCATGTTCCCGCTGTTCCACGAACCGACCTTTATGCATCTGGTAGATAAGCACTACTCAAAAGACCCATACGAGGGATCCGGCTGGTGGGCCAGTCTGAATGTCGCTCTAGCTTTTGCACATCGATTGCGCGTCATGAGCAATTTAGTCCCAGCAGAAGAAGACGAAAAGGCGTGGCAGTACCTGAAGAACGCCATGAGTGTCATGGTCGAGCTCACCATGCGTAACACCGATCTACTTAGTGTGCAGGCTTTACTGGGAGTGGTATGTAATGTCGGACTTTGAAGATGTTCTCATCTAACGACTTCAGGGTCTCTTCCTCCTTGGAACGCCGAACCCACAACCTACCTACTTCTTCGTTGCCACCGCCATGCGACTTGCGCATAGCATTGGTCTCCACAAGAAGGGTGCCAACTTCAGTCTCAACGCCGCGGAAGTCGAACAACGAAGGCGTGTTTTCTGGATAGCCTACATGCTGGACAAAGAGTGAGTCTTTCAATCTTCCAACAGTATACAGACTAACACCATCAAGTATTTGTCTGAGGTCTGGCAGACCACCTGTGCAAGACGACGACGATATGAACGTCGAGCTACCGAGCGAGACTCCACCGGACAATATCGGCAACATCCCGCTCGCTGATGGAAAGGGCACCATGAACCTGTTCCGTCTCATGTGCACCTTCTCCGTGATCCAAAGCAAAGTCTACAAGGGCCTCTATTCAGTAAAGGCATCCAAGCAGACCGATGGCGAGCTACTCAATACTATTGGCGAACTCGACAAAGAGTTGGAAGCCTGGAAAGACGACATACCACTGGAATTCAGACCAGAGCACGACATCAAGGCATCGCACACCCCGCTCATCCTTCAGGTCGCAGTGCTACATCTCGGATACTACAACTGCTTGACCACTATCCACCGCATGAGCGTGCATCACGGATACTGGACCAGTCGATTATCCAACTTCGCGATACAAGGTCTCAACGCTCGCCCTCTGAACCCCAGAGTCTTCATGTCCGCCCAATTGTGTGTCCAAGCCGCTCGAGCTTCGATACATCTCCTGAAGTACATACCTAAAGGTGACTTGTCGTGTGTCTGGCTGGTCATCTACTTCCCTGTCACCGCTCTGGTCACGCTCTTCGCCAACATCCTACAAAATCCACAAGACACACGATCACGGTCAGATCTCAAGCTAATGAAGCTGGTCGTCAACTTCCTGAACATGCTCAACGACGACCAAGGTAGTGGCAGTGTTAAGCGCATGTGCACAGTTTGCGCTGAGTTTGAGCGCATTGCCACTATCGTGCTTGAGAAGGCAGATCGCGAGCACGCATCGCGGCGGAAGAGGAAACAGGGCGATAGCGAACAGGATGCTCAGATCGAAGCAACCGCGGCTGAGCTCCTTTCAACAGGCCGCAACCCACAGTCCCCACCTCAGCAAGTTACGACCCCACAAAATCCTCCCGCTCAAGAGGGTATGATCTTCAATCCAGATTTCCATGGGTTCAACGAGGTAAGCTGCATCACCGTGGTGCTAGTCCAAAGCTAACATGTTCAGCCATTCCCCTTCTCACCGAATTTCACACACGACTCCTTACAACCCAACATCCAAATGAGCCAATATGGATCACCAGGAATCACCGCGCAAATGCTCCAGCAATCACAAAGTCTACCGATGACAACAGGTGGTGACATAAATGGCGTTAACGCAAACATTAATGCCATGGCCGGCATGGGCCAGTTCGATCAGACTCTTAACAACGTTCCACAAGATCTGTGGAAGATGCCAATGACACTGGAATGGGATTGGGCGGATATGACTGGAGGCTTCTCGGGATACGAGGATGGCATTAGTATGAACGGTGTACTTCCGGATTTCTCCAATAACACCGGCCATGGAACAAGCGAGTTCAACCAAGGCGCCATGAATGGTGGTCGATGATGAAGCTTATTCGCAGCCGATCGGATGGAGCTTGCCGTCCCGACGATGGTGTATCACAACATCGACCATTACGTTTTGACCCTTCAATGCCAGCAGAACATTTTCTCCCGTCTGGGAACGGATGTTACCGCCCAACTCCAGCACGATCTTGCGTGCTTCGCTATATACCACTTCTCACCATCGGATGCATATCTGTGTATGCATCTAATTATGAATTTCGTAGCTGTGTAAAATAATGTTGTATCTCCGAATCAATACATTTTGTAATAACACATCCTTGCTACAACCCGAGAACGTCGCGCATGCACGGTAGTGACGTCCCTGTAGCTATCTGCTCGGTCAATCATAGGCTGCCATTAACATGGCGCTACGGATCACGATTCGGAGATCCTCGCTGTACGATGATGCTCACCCGCTTGACGTATGTCACCCAAACATCTCGATATATTCACCAACAATCCCTGCGCTGATCACATAGCTTCATTCAACACCCTTCCCCTCTCAACCACTTTACTTGCCCTCAACCTTCATCTAGTACTCTGTCGAACCAACACACAATGAAGAACATAACCTCCCTCCTCTCCACCCTCATAACCGCAAACCACATCCTCTCCCACCACGCCGTCCTCGACCCCTTTGGCCACATCAGCGTCCGCAACCCAAACACCAACACCACTTTCTTCATCGCCCTGCAGATTGGTAAACACCCATCTCACCTGTTAGTCTCTTTGACAAGACCCGTAAGCTGATTCATCATTAACAACACAGGCCCAGCGACCGTCTCCTCCCCCGCTGACATCGGCGAATACCACATCGCCGATGGCACGCCCTTACCTGGTACTACGGGTGGATATGCGGAACGCTATATCCACAGCGAGATAATGAAAAGATATCCGGATGTTAATGCGGTTGTGCATAGTCATAGTGAGGATGTGTTACCGTATACGGTTCTAGATTCTGCTGGCGATGGAAATGAAAATGGAGATGGAGATGGAAAGGGGATGCGAGGGATGCAGCCTGTGTACCATATGGCTGGTTTTCTGGGCGCGGAAGTACCGAGGTTTGATATTGAGGATGTGTATGAGGAGGGGGAGCCGAGGGATATGCTGGTTAATAGTGTGAGGTTGGGGGAGGGACTGGCGGGGATGTTTGGGAGGAATGGGACGAGGGTTACGGAGCCTTTATATACGACGGTTTTGATGCGCGGGTATGTATTCTCGTAGGCGATGAACGCTTGGTGATGCATCTGCTGACGTTTTGTTTCAATTTGTAGCCATGGTTTTGTGACAGTTGGCGACGGGATAGAGCAGGTCCTGGATTTTGCGTATTACGCGGCGAGTAATGCGAGGGTGCAGACGAAGGCGTTGCTGTTGGCTGGTGTTGGTGGCGGTGAGGGAATCGGAGGTGTTGTGAAGTATTTGAGTGCGAAAGAGAGAAAAGCGACGAGTGAGATGAATCGCTGGATTGTGTTTAAGCCTTGGAGGCAATGGGTTATGGAGGTGGAGAGGAGTGGGAGGTTTGTTAATGTTTTGGGGACGCCGCCGCTTGATGTGGAGTGAGGATTGGAGAGACGGTCGGATGTTTGGTGGTTATCAAGCTGCAGAAGTAATTCGATGTTTGAAGCTCGATGTTCTACGATCGAATTGTGTAGGCGTGATCCCATCGTGGGGTTGATACCGATAGATCTGCATGACGCCATCTGCCAAGCCCCAACAGCTCGGGAGCGGAGGAAGGCGGTAGGCGTTCTTCCTCTCCGCCCTCTCGACTGCCGTCCGTCCCCACTCACGTCATGTTGAAGTTATCCCGCAAAAGGAAGCTCGATGTACTACCAAGACCTTAGCAGCTGAAAAGACGTTAAGATGGCTGCGAGGTATCCATGGATGCAGACATCCGCTCCTAATCCATGCCTGATAACGTGCTTATGCATACACATCACGACTACTCAAACAGCATGCGCAATTGACGTATAAAGATGCAATGCCTCATTCCCAGCGAGAGATGTACCTCGCACCACCTCTCAGACCATCTGCTAAGTCCTTAGCTTCAACCTCCGAAGGACCTCAACTTTGAACGCATCGATCATCATGAGGGCCTCTTACAAGACAGTCTTAGCTGTACTTCCACTCTACGCAATTACGACCATCGCGGATCGATATGCCAGCAACATACGACCGGTAATTGTGGATTCACCACAAGTGGCGGCCAACTTTCCCGACGTCGATGGCATACAATTGTTGTCGCCGGCTTTCATAAATCCGGAGAACGTACCAGCGACATTTGCGAACGGCACCTCAGGACCCACTCCACAGGGTCACTTAGGTACGTTCCGGATACCAGAACAGCTCCACGCTTACTGATCTTTTCAAGAGAGCTTCGTGAAAGGTCTCACCCAGCGTAACGGATGGATCACCTACAATAGCGGCCTGAAATCTGAGGAAGATCGCGCGATCCCATACGTCACATTGACAAATGGCAAGAAAAGCAGTAAGAAACTACGTGTCTGGATCCAAGGAGGCCAACATGGGAACGAGCCTGCAGGCGACGAGGGCGTGCTTGCATTGCTTGGAAAGTTCGCACAAGACTCCCAGTGGAGCGCCAAGGTCCTTGAGAAGATCGATCTTACGATCATCCCGCGTTACAACGTCGATGGCGTCGAGTACCTACAGCGACAACTGGCCTCCAACTACGATCCCAACCGCGATCACGCAGTCCTCGAGCGAGAGCAGACACGAGCCATCAGAAAGCTACAGTCTGAGTTCGACCCTCACATCTTCATCGACGACCACGAGTACACCGGAGGTAACTTGGTAGCGGAAAAGTACATCCGCGCGCAGGACCTGCTTGTCTCCGCCAACAAGAATCAGAACGTCAACCCCAGCATCCGAGCTTTGAACCAGGAATTCGTCGACGACATCTTCTCGGTTGCCGAGAATAAGGACCTGCGAATCTTCCCATACTTCACCACGAGTGTTGCAAACGGCACGATAACGATCGAAGAGCCTGATGCGCTTGCCGCGGCGAATCACAAGGGTGCTGGTAACTACCAGGCCCTGACTTTCCTCGTCGAGACGCGTGGAATTGCTATCGCCGATCAGCACTTCCAGCGACGTGTAGCTTCGCATGTTATTGTGCTAGAAACCATCCTCAACAAAGCAGTCGATGAGTTCGACGATGTGTACAAGATCGTTGAAGCTGGGCGAAAGGCGTTCATCGACAGCAAAGACGATATCGTTGTCGCGTATGAACAGCGCATCACCAACAAGACAGTTCCCTTCATCGACGCATCAACCGGCTCACTCATCTCCGTACCCGTCCGCTCTCGTAACAGCGACCCCTCCATCATCACCCTCTCGCGTCCCCGACCAAAAGCCTACGTCTTCTCACGCGCCTGGGCCGATGTAGCAGAGCGTCTCCGCATCCTCGGTGTCACCGTCGACGTTCTGGAGGAAGACTTTGTCGGAACTGTTGAAGCGCTCGTAGTCACGAAGGCTGAGCTTGCTGAGACCAAATTCGAAGGCATCGCGGGTACAACAGTCACGACTAATGCGACGCAGCGTGCTGTTACAATACCGGCTGGCGGCTTCTACGTTGATACAAAGCAAAAGAACGCTGGGTATGCATTCACGCTGTTGGAACCGGAGGGGGAGGCGAGTCAAGTGTATTATAACAAGATTCCGCTGGAGGTCGGGGATGAATATCCAGTATTTAGGGTTTTGTAGAATGTCCGTACCGAAAGAGCTGTAAGAAGAGTATACGAACAACCCATCTGCCGATGCTGAACGACTTCTCCATCCGCACTCGCATGCATAACCCCTCCTTCAGCCCTACAATTCTCTCATCAACGTTACTAGCGCCCGGTGTCATGCTTCCAGTGTGCTTCTAGCAGTCTCCAATCGAATCGAGAGACATGATGGTGATCTGGGTGGCCTGATACTAAGTTCAGCATGTAGACCCTTGGTTCTCCTCGTTTGTAGGGCCGAAAACCCCAAACTCTATTCCTCGCGATCTGTGCGATACGGTGAGAGTAGGTGGGCCGAGGGTTCAACGAGGATGTAGTGTACGGCAATTGACTAGTGCTTACTGGTGTCAGGCGAAGTTTAACCGGCAGCAGTGCTTGTTTGTACTGTATGTTAAGCGTGCGCGGTGACGACTAGTCCTCCGGGCTGCGTTCTTGAGCTTGATGTCTATTTGCGAGGGACTTTAGGTGCGTAGATTGCAGCATTGGAACGTGCGAAACGGTGGACGGTTAGTCTGAGCAACATTCATAGTTTCACGCGTTAATAAACAGTTCGCTCTCACTGACAACTTCTAAACCGTTTGTGTTACCAATTCATTCTCATAGATATATATACATGAAAGTCATACCCGTGCCAAACCCTCACAAAACGGGACAAAACAAAGCCGAGATGTAATGCACACAAAGCCATAGGCTACAAGTCATCTAAGCACTACCACCAAGCTGCTTAGTAACATACTGGGTACCCAAGTTCTGTGTGGGAGTGTCCCTGGGGTATTGAAGATGTTGCGCGTTGATACCCTGACCGTGTGTAGTATCGCATACACCGTCGCCCTATTCACTGTTAGTAAACGCCTTGATAATAAGATAAAGGATGGACCTACAAAGATGCAAACATCCAGCGTCTTGCCCTGCCAGTTATCCGGAATGCCCCTGCTCAGCGCCGCAGACAGACCATTAACGTTCTTCGTCGTAGTACCGCCGTTGTTATCCACATTGCACGACAGTCCTGACTTGTGCGCCGGGTTACCAATGAGGAAAACACCCTTGACAGCATCGAAGTTCGCGCCAGTGAGCTGAGACATGGCATTCACCGTCGCCTGAGCACCCTGACTGTATCCCTCGAGGATGAAGCACTCATCCGGGTTTGTGCGTAGTGTAGACTGAACCTTGTTGACGATATCAGCGGTGCCGGCAGCGCTGTTCTGGCTGAAGCCGGCGGCGTAGACGGTGTTGTAGATCTTGCCGCCTGAGACTGCGGACTGGATGTTGCGGTTCATGGTGCGGAAACCGGAGGATTCGCCTTGGATCTCGCCGGTGCCGCGGGTGTTGATGATGGTGTAGGAAGAGCATGCGGCGCGGGTGGAGAGGTTGTCGACGGGGGCGGCGGTGGAGAGAGCGAGCAGCGAGGCTGCGGGGAGGATGGTGGAGAAACGCATGGTTGATGTGTGAAGATGGGTATGGGTATCTGAATGAATGTATGAGGTGTGACAGTGAGAGAAGTAGAGTTGATGATCTTATAGTCAGGGTGATGCGGGTATTACAGCGGATCGTCTCTGCCTTAAATATCCACCCTCCCCCCATAGACAACCCGTGTGTAATAGGAAAAAGCACCCTCCACTATCCATAGATTCCACCTCACCTCGGCAGACATTCTTAGCGCGTTTCACTCGCCGATCCCCAGTCTGCACCTCTACACCGAATAGGACGGAACCTGCATCCGCTTCGGAGCACTAATTCATAATCGTGGCCGTCTATCCAGTAGGCGCCTCGATCGACACATGGCCTAACGGCTGTCACCGTCTGGAGTGGGTAGAGATCTTCTCTACCTTCTCGATTCGGATGACTTCATGACCAGGAACGGGGATTGCGGGTGAGGTGTCGTGACGGGTATTCGGTGCCTCTGTTCATGCATCGACGTCGTTGTGTCAAATGTGTATGTCATACCCATCTTTGCTTCCAGGATATCGATGATGAAAGGTGGCGCGGCGAGATCTTTCGAAACTCCTCAGCCTTGATAGTGGCTGAAGCGGCATGGAACATTCCATCCTATGCCGTCTACTCGAAACAGCCAGGAAGTGGGGGTAGAGTCTCAAAACCTCCAATGACATGCCATATCGCATTCATCGTGCCTCGGGGTAGCGACTGCACCATGGTGGACACTGGACCACCCGGTGCGCCTCACAGTCTCTAGGCGCAGGTCCTGAATCGCTCATGCGGGTCCGCGGATTGTTGGCCTTACCACGTTCGGTATACTTGCCTGCTGTTTGTGGTTTGGAGCCTGCCGCAAGGAGAGCCCCCAATTATTGCTCCTTGCCGTCGATCGGCATCGAGCCTCGGCACGGCAATTGTACAAGGGGAGGTGCAGCGTCGGTGGAAGTACCACAAACGGATGGTGAGGATGTGGAGGTGAGGTCGGAAATTATCGAAAAAGCAAGTGAGTAATCAGCCCAGCGTGGGCTAGGCAGGTGCGACAGCGGCACGAACAGTTCGTCGAGAGAGCTGCAATGCAAGTAGCGGACACTGACAGAAGAGGTGTAGTCGTCCTGCGTTGGTGTGCCGAAACCTGGGCCGATCTTCCTACTCGCAGTATGGTACGGGTGATCGTTAGCGGGTCCCGCTGATCCGAGGAACGGCTCTAGCGCTGCGCTATGCCGGATGTGGCAGGCTAAGCTCCGAAAGCTTCGACTTCAGGATGGCATCTTGACCGAGATGTCGGCTGGATGTTGACCGAGGTGACAGTAGGTGAGTACGATCTGGAAGCAGAATGCGATGTGTACCTGATCGTTGAACTTTACCCCGCTAGATCATTCCGGGATGACCTCGCGGGAGGAAGCAGCAACGTAAGCGCATCAGCTGATCGAACGTGGTTTTCACAGGAACTGCCGAAACGGCGAATTCAAACCTTGGAAGGGAGCGACCGAACGGTGACATGGAAACTCTAAGTGACGTCTTTGCGCTAGACCATGTGTCAAAAGGTTGCCTCAAAACGTTGCCACGTGTGACGCTAGTTCCACTTCTCTTCCTCGTCATTTCACTCTCCAGGTATTCCCGACTTGTTTGCATCGCGACGACTCGTATCGAGGATTTTGTTTCCGCGGAATATCCATTGAGAACATGTCTTTCGCTAGGTCCTTCGGTACATCTTGCCGATTCCACACGCTTCAGTCTTTCATGAAGTCGTCCCGCAACGGCTTTTGATTGCAATGACAGGATCCCATGAGTACAGAAGCAAAGAGGCAAGAAGCTTGTAGAATGCTGATAAATATACGCACGTCCAGAGCGACGCTCAAGATTCGAGAACTGGCGGCAATGTTTGAACGGAAGCAAGCAGCCGACACATCGGCGACAATTCTTTCGATTTAGATCAACTTCCCCGGACGACTGGACCCTTCGAACCTCCAAGCCAGCATTTTGGTGCCATTTTGAAGACGTCCTAGTCTGCTATTCTCTTGCACCTACAGACGAAGCAGGACCATGACATGTTCAAAGAGGTATTTCGGAAGATCATCAACTGGTCGATGTAAGCCTTCGAAAAAGGAAGTCTTTTGATAAGTGTAAGGAGTTAGGATCCACAACCCACGGACATGCTTTTATACACGCAGATCTAGTGCGATCACCACCCAAGCAGTACAAAGGTTCCACGAGATGGCATATCGAACATCTCACAAAGCCAGTACGCGTTACTAAACCTCCAAAAAGACTGGGCAACAGATGCATGTTCTCTGTGCCCTTCTCTACAGTCATGGTTCAGCGCAGAGCCTTTTTCGAAGCTTCCGCACACCTACGGAGATAACCACATCCATGTATCCCTTCTCCATGATGAATTCCGCTCTGAGTTTTGCTGTCGCACAACGGGAAGGCCGACAAGCTCACGCCATGAAACCGATAATCGTGAGTTTGAAGATTCTCATTCTTCGAATGCTTGACGGTTTTGGAAGAGTGAAGCCCGTAACGTTCTGGTAGAGGAACGACGGCTTAGTCGTCGGAACTTGGGTTCATATATGCAGCTAAGACGGAGGCTGACCGGCGCCCAACATGGTAAGCGAGGCATGCGTCTTTCATTCCCATTGGTGTGGTTCTCGGGTATTTTGGAAGAATAAGTCTGGGACGTCTTTGCAGATGAATGAAGGTACAGTTGTAAGGACGCAGGCTTTATAAGCAAGAAGAACAGAGGCAAGCAGGTACACCGCATATAGCAGTCGATGTTGTCTTTAGATCCCCATAGTGACGATGGTGAAGTTTTTTTAACTACCGGAAGCCATAAGATTGATGTAGAAGTGATACTTCAATGACAGCCGGATGGTAGGTTTGAGTTGCGAGTCGCACAGAGACCGGCAAGCGCACCGCGTAATACCATTGAACATCTCTTCTGGCTTTCATTTGGGCGAACTGCCGCTATTTTGAACCCCCGAAGGTCAGTGTAGCGGGACCAGAGAGAGACATCGATGGCCGCTGGAGGGTGACTTCATGCTCAAATCGAACGAGGGCAGGCGCTCACACAACATGGCTACCATTCTGTTACTTTTCAATCTCCATTCTAGGGAATGGGCTTGGTTTTTGGAGATTTGGAAGCTGGGGCATTACTTCAGAAGGGAGACTCCTGTAGTCGTCGTGAAGCAGGATTTATATGCGCCCTGCACGCAGACACACAGACGCACCATGTTCCGATCCCAAGTCTTCTTTTCGATCTCCATTTGATCTCCACATTGATGTTTTGAAACACAGGAGACTGGATCATGCTTTATGTTCTTGATAGTTTTGAGAGTGAGGCTTCATATGCAGGCTGAGCGGAGACGCGCAGACGCACCGTATATCTTGCTCCAGAGGGCGTTTTGGTCTCCATGTAGAAGATGAGTAAGCTTTTTGATATACTTGAAGGCAGGACGTCGGCACAGAACAGACATGATCTGTGGTCTGGAGATGTTGGAAGATAAGTTTTGGATACGACCCTCACGGAGGCAGCCGAACACGCCACATGAA